GATGACTGTAACATATAGATTTATTTAATTGTCTTTATCATCACTCGATATCTATTAACTTTCAAAACGTAAGTATTGACTGATGTCATAAACCCGTTAGTAATATTGATGTCATAAACCCGTTAGTAATATTGATGTCATATACCCATGAATAATATTGATGTTATAAACTCGTTAGTAATATTGATGTCATAAACTCGTTAGTAATATTGATGTCATAAACCCGTTAGTAATATTGATGTCATAAACCCGTTAGTAATATTGATGTCATAAACCCGTTAGTAATATCGATGTCATATACCCATGAATAATATTGATGTTATAAACTCGTTAGTAATATTGATGTCATAAACTCGTTAGTAATATTGATGTCATATACCCGTTAGTAATATTGATGTCATATACCCTTGAATAATATTGATGTCATAAACTCGTTAGTAATATTGATGTCATATACCCGTTAGTAATATTGATGTCATATACCCGTTAGTAATATTGATGTCATATACCCGTGAATAATATTGCTGTCGTATACCATTGAATAACATTGATGTCATAAACCCGTTAGTAATATTGATGTCATATACCCGTGAATAATATTGCTGTCGTATACCCGTTGAATAATATTGATGTCATATACCCGTTAGTAATATTGATGTCATATACCCGTGAATAACATTGATGTGCTAAACCCGTCAGTAATATTGTTGTCGTATACCCTTGAATAATATTGATGTCATATACCTGTTAGTAATATTGATGTCATATACCCGTGAATAATATTGATGTCATAAACTCGTTAGTAATATTGCTGTCGTATACCCGTGAATAATATTGATGTCATAAACTAGTTAGTAATATTACTGTCGTATACCCGTTAGTAATACTGATGTCATAAACCCGTTAGTAATATTGATGTCGTATACCCGTTAGTAATACTGATGTCATAAACCCGTTAGTAATATTTATGTCATAAACCCGTGAATAATATTGATGTCATATACCCGTGAATAATATTCATGTCATAAACCCGTTAGTAATATTCATGTCATAAACCCGTTAATAATATTGATGTCATATACCCGTTAATAACATTAAATACTCTGTGAGTGCCAAGGCTAGTTTTTATCATGATATTTTAGTTTTAACCACTGCTTTACTGTAAATAATAATTATTATTAGTTAAGAGAGTATTTATTAAAATTTTGAACAATTAAAGGCATTTTGCATATCAATGATGTCTACGGGTACATACTAAACAAGATTCTAAGTTTGGGGGCGACATCGCCTTAAAATAAAGTTGTCTGTTAAATACTGAGTTGTAACACAAGTTTATCTATTGTTGTAGACAAATAAAACAAAAGTAAAGGATTTACTCTGGAATAATTTATTCTAACTAAACAGTAATGAATCTTTTCTCAAACGTCCTATTTACCTACTTCGTTAAAATGATCTACATGACGCACTGATCTCAAATAAAAGGTCATTAACACGCGCAACTCCTCGTCTTTCGTGGCGTTAGCAGCACGAAGTGTCTGTTGCTAATTTTTACCATCAGATGTTCTCCAGACAAATCAAGGTTTGTTTGTCAGAACAAGTTTTTAGTTTGAAACTGGTAGTGTCAGCTTTCTTTATTCTAGAACGAAACTGTACAGTGGGTTATTTTTGCTGCGTGTCCGCCGCGGGGATCAAACTCGAAAATAAATAGTATTAGAATGTAGATCACACATATATCTATTAATAAAATAAAGAAACTGTACCAAGTTATGATAATACCCATTGCCACGAGGAAGATTTGTAGCTGTCTTACAAATTTCACAGTGGTCGCTGTTTTAGCACTGTATTATTAACATGCCCATTATAGTTATAGCATTAACCGTCCTCGAGACGTATAACATAAACAAACTAAAAATTAATCTTCATCCAGACAAAAAATAAAACTTGACTGTGACGCCATTTTAATCTCTCATATATACGAATTTATCGATTTCATAACTGATAACCATACGACTCCTACACTTTTATAAATATCATTTTTAACTCAACGTTTTCCAC